GGTATGGATTGATTCAGGACTTCAGGGTTCATACTCCGTGAGATGCAATTTACATTTCAGCCCACACACCTCTCTGGTTTACCAGAGCTTGCAACAGTTACGATTTTTTAAAATGTATCTCTAAGCCAGCATATCAATTTCCTGGCTGGCTCAGGGATTCTGGGAATTCTATTTCAAAAGACTTTTCCAAACTCTGGTTTATTCATGCACATTTGCTCCTTCTTGACTTGTTATGATTACCATCATGGGCCACTAAAATCTGCTACCAGAGACAGAACACTGATACATCCCTTCCAGCTTGGGATTGGGTAAGGAATGGAATTACAGTATTTCATGTTTCCATCTAAGTTAATTCCCATGCTTCTTTTCATTAACACTGAGTGATGTGTTCTGCTAGTGTAATGAGCCATCACAGAACAAATAGGACGTGCTGAACTTGCATGTAGCCATGTGTTCTTCATTGCCTTGAACAGTGAGAAGTTCTAGGAGCAGTGGTACCTGGCCTTCCTTTGGGTGACAGAGCATTGGAGGAGACAGAGGTTGCCTCTGTATTGTTTGCTTTATTCATAAATGCACAGGCAGAGCATAGGTGGAAACAACACTGAACACTTTAGAAAACAAACACAAGCATAAAAATCTCGTTCATCTAATTTTGGAGTCTTCCCAAACAGTTTAGTTGACAGGGCAGTCTAAATTTATGCTAATAAATTATGATACCGGGGAAAAAATAAAAAATAAAGACACATTTCAAGGTAGATTAAATAATAGTATTAGATAGTCAGGAGTTAATATTACTTAGAATTTAACAGATATTATAAAATTAATTTTTGATAAAATGAAAAAAATAAATTAAGGAGCAAATAAAGTTTATAAAAAACTGAAATGATCTTGATCTGGGAGAATAACATTATGTAAAATGAAAATTATTCCTTAAATAAAATTTTTATTCTGGATGTTATCCATAAAGATCAGTAACAATGAGTTAAAAGAATGACAGAATTTGATTAAGGTAATTGAAGTAATGAATGGGAAAAATTAGAGGAATTTAGAGCTTTGACAAAATTTGAAGAAATTAGTGAAAAAAAGAAAAGGGATGTTAATAAAAGTAAAAAAGGGATAATAAGCATAAGATATAAAATACTGAGAAAACCACTATAGTAATTAAATACTCTTAAAGAGGCATGGCAGGGAGATCTACATGAAGAAATTAGTGTTGAAGATTAGAAGATGTGGAATAAAAAATACTGAAGAGTATGTCTATAAAGGTTAAGAATAATTTGTATAAAGTGATTTGGATATGGCATTTAACTTTGGTGAAAATGAATTTCATGAATAATGGAGTAGTGCTTATATGCTGAAGATGTAAGAAAGGATTGGGTACATATTTTCATATGTGGTAGACATGTAAAATGATGCAGAAGGATTGGATAATGGTATTTTATGTGATAAAGAAAATTAGGGGTATAAATATACAAAAGTATCCAGTGATAGCTTTGTTATACATGTACAGAAATATTCAAATAGAATGGGATAAAAAGGAATTACTTATTATTATGGTAACTGTGGCATGATTGATATTTTCAAGAAATTGGAAAGGTAACAATTTGTTTAATATGGAGTAGTAGTATAAAGAAATGTGAAATATTGCTATTAATAATAAACTAATGTGAATTGAAAGTTAGAAAAGGAATAGTGAAAGTGAATCATTTTAAGAATACACTTAAAATGATTCAGGACAAGACTTGCTATGTGATTGGAGAGAAATGAGGTACATGAATGAGAAAGAGATTAAAATATATAAACAAAAAAATTAAATAATTTTTATATCTATCCTGAGGGTAAAGGGGTCAATTGCATGTAAAGTGTTGTGTTTTTAATTTGCTTAGTACTGTACATATTTTGGTTTTTTTTTTGCTTTCTATTGTATTTTTTGTAATTTTTAGTTTATATAATAATTTTTATAAAATTGATAAGACAAGGGCTCTGCATATCTAAAGGACTTGTGCGGGAGGGGGGGGGAGTGAGTGAGTAAAAGATAGAATGGTAACATCCTTGCATGGCCATTTTTCCTTGTTAGACTTTAATGCATTTAGTGTCATGATCTGGAAATAATTTGTTTTGGCTGAACATGTAAATTGTTATTCTAGAAATAGGCAAAAAGTGTGGTCCTCCTGACATCAGACAGCAACTCCCAACAACCACAATACAGAAAAGACAATTGATGTCTGAATCAGAACAGGCAATAAATAAAATCCAAAGTCGTGGAAATTGGTACTTCCTTTATAATTAACAGAGTTTAAAGTACAAACAAAAACTGCACAGAGATAGTGTGATAGAGTAGCTCTGATCCTAGAGCTACCCTCTTTTCTCAGAGTAGCACTCTGTTTAATAAAAATCATTCTAAGACTAGCTTAAATAGAGAAGAAAAATATATTTCCTTACAATTGTGTGACTTCAGTTACAATCAGAAGAATAAAGGGATAAAAGAAAGAAAGCTTTGAACATGTGGAAGATTAAATTTATCATGTTGGCCACCTGGTAAGAAGCAGAGAGTTTATATGTCTGCTATGTTTGATAATCAGAGAGGAAGAAAGAACACAAACAAACAAAGCAAACAGAAGCAAATGGACAGGAAGAGGGGGAGGGGACTTGCTTCAAGGCCAGGGAAACAGGACTTTGCTAATAGGTTTGTGGCAGAAGACAGTCACTTTAGTTTGTGAAAACTCCTCCATCCTACTGAAATCCAGTGTTAGGCTGCATGAAAGATTGTTACCATGCCAACACTGAAAACTAGCCAAGGCAGAAAATTACAAAAACATCTTTCTCATTCTTGACAGTAAGAATAGAATAATAACAAATAACTAACTTGCTCGTTCATGACACACTACATTTATTGCCTTTAGTCAAATTTCTTATATTTCCTTATGGTAGGACTAGCCTGGCACTCAGTGGCCAAGATCCTGTTCATGTCCCTTGCTATGCCTCCATTTTAGATTCAAAGGTTCCCTAGGCTCCCTTTTGTCCTGGGAAAGACTTTGGGAGCCTAGGTTTGGGGGGGGTGAATTAGGACCATTGGCAGCTGTCTGGTGATTATTTTTGGAGATTAACACCCCACCCCACCCGAGAGGCTTCCAATGGGAAGCTTGGAACCGGAAAGAAGGGGGATAGGAAGCATTTAATTAATTTAAAGTTTGGGGGGGGGGGAATTAGGACCATTGGTAGCTGTCTGGTGATTATTTTTTGGAGATTAACACCCCACCCCACCCCACCAGAGAGGCTTCCAATGGGAAGCTTGGAACCAGAAAGAACGGGGATAGGAAGCATTTAATTAATTTAAATTAATTTTAACCAGTGGAAGTTGATGACATCATTAGGATTTTGGCCAGTGTCTAGTTTAGGTTTGAATCTGAGAAGTACTTCCCCTGGCATTGGCATGATGTGCGGACCAATGAACGTTCTTGAATGAAAAGTTACTTGAATGAAGGCTCAGCCAATTAATATGTGTCCCAAGCCCAAGTGTATCTTAAGAAATGATAGACCTGCATGTATCAACCAGTTCAAAGAAAATAGCTAATAATTAGGGTTAGCATATTAACATTTCACAGCGTGCCACCCAGTGCCCATTTGGATCGGCATGGATTTCACCCTTTCATTTCTGAATAAAATGTAAGTCCCCAGCCCTTACACTATCAGAGGTGGAAGGCAAAACACATTCATTGTATTGACCAGTCGATTTATGAGAAACAATCCTTTCCATAAATTATATAGCACAGGGGTCTTCATGTTCCAAGTCCAATCCCGTAATCATTATGTGATACTGGCTGCTCTAGATCAGTGGTTGTTACATAAATGGCTTATATTGGTGGAAGAACAGTGCAAAATGGACATGCACAATATGCATAATAATGGAACAATGATAATAATGGTACCTAGATGGTGATCCTCATTATTACTAGGTGACTATCCAATTTGCATAATATACAAACAAATCTGTTCATTTTGCATAATATGGACATTAGAAGACTTGGTTTTGGGGAACTGGAACATACCAATTCAATGGAATATTATTTATTAATTTAAAATATTTTACCCCACCTTTCTCCTTAAAAGGACCCAAGGCGGCTTACATAATTAAAAATACAATATTTAAAAGCTATAAAAACAGTAGGTACAGTATACAAATATGGTGTTGATGGAATCATTCAGACTGACTCAAGTCCAAAGAGTGCATGGCATGAATACCATTCATAATCCCAGGTAGCTGAAGCTGGAACATTGATCACCCTGATTCCTAGAAAACAATTACTCAAAGGTTCTTCATTATAAGAAGGTCAGTGAATGTTAAACCTACCTATATTGATTAAATTCTAATTTTATCTTTGAGGGCTGAATGCAAAGAAGGGTGGGGGGAGGACAAAGTGGGAAAGGCTTTTCTTTCAGGAAAAAAAAATACTCCTCAAAATTAGGATTGCTATTTTACTGGGCACTTTTCCTGTCAGAATTAATACTTACAAAACCTTCCCACAAAGAAAATGGTGCAAGAGATTGTGTGAACCAATGAAAACGAGAGAAGAGCTGGTTGCAAAGAGCAGATATGGAAGTGTTGTTGCCATGGATATTTCAGTCTCGTTACAATGTCTTGGAGATTAAAGGAACACAACAGGATGTTGTTTTCCCAAGTGAAAGGGCTTGTGGAAAACTCATGTATGTACACATTCCAAGCAATAAAGTAAGGATGGGCAATGTGTGGGCCACCTCAACATCTTTGGACTGCATCTCCCAGAATTCCTCACAATCGGCTAATTTAATTAGGGCCTGGTAGAGTTTGTGGGCCGGCAATATTTGGAGAGCCACAAGTTGCCCAGCCTGGTGGTGTAGTTTTTGCATGCCATAGGTAGGGGATTGGATTTTTGCCTCATCTTCCATAAAGCAAAACAATGACACCTCCCTGCTTGTAGAAATATAGAATATAATGAAAGCTTAAATTTTTCCCCCTACAGGATTCAGGGAGCATTTTTTTTTTTCAAAAGAGGACATTCCATTGTGAGGCATCCTCTCCTCTCTTCACTTGCAACACAAAACAGTGCCGTCCATTCCAGGAGGAACTCTACCACTTTCCATGTATAAATACAATACCCACCCTGTAGTAGTTGAGCAGCCCATGCCATGAGAGTGATAGAGAAGCTCACGTCTGAGACTCAGAAGAAAGCTAGACTGATTTGCAGTCGAGAGCTAAATTCTTACCCAAACTGCTCCTGCTTTGGATTCCTATAAGCAGCTCTGATTCTTGCAGCTTGACAGTTCGACAGGTATATATTTTATTTCATTTTATTTCAAGAATTCCTTGGTGGTCTTCCAGGGTAAAGGTTCTCCCAAGGTACTTGCATAAAAGACATAAAGCTACAAAGAAATGAATACAAGAATCCCTTTCAGTATAAGAGTAAAACAGCAGTTAAAAACAAGACACTAAAATTGCATTATATTCTAGCTCAACGTTCTTATCAAATCTCTTACACCAAATTTTAAACTGCTAGTAAAGTGTGCATTAAATAATTAGAATAGCAACTTGGTTAAGAGTCACCCTAAACAAATGGATGTTTAGGGCCCATTTAAAAGCCAGAACTGATTAAATCAACTGTATTTCCTTCAAGAGGAATTCTATAGATAACCAGTCATCATCACCACCGCCAAAGCCAAAGAGAACTGGGTAAATGTAGAACTATGTAACCACTTAGCTACCATACCTACTTTTATTGTGGAATTAGGTCCCTCTCCTAACCAAAGTATTGGCTTAATTAGGACAATGTTATGCTGAATTTGTTTCCATTCATTGTTCATTCAACTCATGCTGGTGGAGAATCATAGCTAACAGATTAGTAGTAGGAAGTGGGAAAATTTGAAGTCACAAAGGAGTTGCACCAAAATCTGAAAGTAGATGTTGCAGAATGTATTACCAGGAACCAAAAACAGGTGTTGGAGAAAAACTAAAACAAGGGTAGGCAACTTATGCCCCTCCAAATGTTATTTAAATACTACAGTACTTTTATCAACCACGTTCGTTCGTTCGTTTAGTCGTGTTCGACTCTTTGTGATCCCATGGACCATATCACGCCAGGCCCTCCTATCTTCCACTGCCTCCCAGAGTTGTGTCAAATTCATGTTGGTGGCTTCAATGACACTGTCCAACCATCTCATCCTCTGTCGTCCCCTTCTCCTCTTGCCCTCACACTTTCCTAACATCAGAGTCTTTCCCAAGGAGTCTTCTCTTCTCATGAGATGGCCAAAGTATTGGAGCCTCAGCTTCAGGATCTGTCCTTCCAGTGAACACTCAGGGTTGATTTCCTTTAGACTTGATAGGTTTGTTCTCCTTGCATTCCAGGGGACTCTCAAGAGCCTCCTTCAGCACCACAATTCAAAAGCATCAATTCTTCAGTGGTCAGCCTTCTTTATCAACCACAGCCACTGGCAAATAAATAATCTACTTCGACTGGTTGGCTTCCCTTCTGTCTTTCAGTCACCCATCACTTCCATTAACCACCAACACTGGCTGGCAGAGGTTAATGGGAAACAGGAGTCCAACAGTACCTGGAGGGCCACAGGTCCTTCACCCATTAGAAGATCAGCAAGGTTAAGAAGTTATTTGTTGTTGTTGTTTAGTCTTTAAGTCATGTCCGACTTTTTGTGACCCCATGGACCAGAGCACACCAGGCCTTCCTGTCTTCCACTGCCTCCCAGAGTTGGGTCAAATTCATGTTGGTTGCTTCAATTACACTGTCCAACCATCTGGTCCTCTAAGAAGTTATACGGAACATCAAATAAATTCAGGATGAAATTGTAAGGAAGTAAGTAAGTTGAAATAACATATACAGTGGTGCCTCGCTAGACAGTTACCCCGCATGACATTTTTCGCTAGACATTGACTATTTGCAATCGCTATAGCGATTCGCAAAACAGTGATTCCTATGGGGGAATTTCGCTGGACAATGTTTGGTCTCTGCTTCGCAAACCGATTTTTGCTAGATGACAATTTTGACAGCTCCCTCCACGCTCGCAAAACAGGTGTTTTCGGGACCTATGCTTCGCAAGACAGCGATTTAAACAGCTGATCGGCAGTTCGCAAAGCAGCTTTCCTATGGCCGATCTTTGCTAGACAACAACGATTCTTCCCCATTGGGACGCATTAAACAGGTTTCAATTCATTCCAATGGGGAAATGCTTTTCGCTAGACAATGATTTCGCTAAACAACTACTGTATTTCAGTGGAACGGATTATCATCGTCTAGCGAGGCACCACTGTATGAATGTTCCTTTAAAAGTCCATGGCAATTATTACTGCTACTTTATCAGCTCAAGGTTAAAAGAAAAGTATGCTACATTTAATTGTCTGTGTACTTGCCATGCATCCCTAGTACACATGTCCATTTAAATATAACAGTACTCTGTCTCCTGTAGTAAGAATGTACAACTTGTGAGTTGAAGAGATTTATTACTAAAAATTGGTCACATAGAACCTGAAAAAGGAGACTTAAAAAGGTGTTTGCTTCCTTGTTACTGACTAGTAACAAATTCTTCTTGTTCATTTCTGAAATCTGTGGCAGCTCAGTATAAAATGTCTCTCCAGTTCAGCCGCATGAGAGGCAAAGTACTGCATGCAGCAGTACACTCAGTATTTCCTCAGGAACTATAAATCCATTTGCCGAGCACAGCTGAGAGGAAAAATCAGACTTGCCCAGTTACGAGACATGGGGTGGCTTGACTTTCAGTACCAGTGTGTAGGGTGCTCTTTTAAGCATGGGGTGGGCGTAGGTTTGCATAAAATTTGCATGTGCCACCTTAAGCATGGGTGGGGGGGGGTAGGTTTGCATAAAATTTGCATGTGCCACTTTATGTCTGTGTATGGTTTAGGTACCTGGCTGTAGAGCCAGATGTGTGTATGGTTTAGGTACTTGGCTGTAGAGCCAGAGATTGGGAGTTTGATTACTCACTGTGCTGCCTGGGGCAAGAGCCAGCCTGTATGGCCTTGGGAAAGCTGCACAGCCCCGGAGTGTCCCTGGAAGAAGGGAATGCTAAGCTACCTCTGAGTACCCTTGACTAGGAAACTCTGAAAAGGGTCACCATAAGACAGAATCGACTTGATGACACATGCATATTGCATAATATTATATACATACATTATATATATGCATATAATTTATAGAAATCAAGAAATAATGGATCTAATTTAAATAGAAAAACAATGCAGTGTCTTTCCTGCTTCCAATAGAGAAATCTATGACCATGTGGTTTGTTTTAGCTATTTGCACACTAATTCTTTTAGTGCTTTTCATCCTTAGGATTAAAGTGAACACGGATGGACCCTGCTTGAGTCAGAGGACTGTCTCTTCTTTCTGCCTTTCAGACAGAGGACTGTTCAACGTCAGGAAAACATTTTACTAGAAGGATAAAGTAAAATTCTGGAAATTTACAAGAACTTGTTTCTGGAACTCTGCAAGAACTTGTTTGTGGAAACTCAAAAGAGATTGTCGCTCTTGAACACCTATTGTGCATTGATGAGGTTGATCTGTCCTTGGCAGCTGGAGAGAATTTATCACGGAAGGTCTTAAGAGTTTAAAAATTGGCAAAAATAAAACAGCAGATGTAACTCACTGCTGATAAGTCAGGCACGATGGGAGCAAGATTGCTAATTGACAATGAAACAACAACAATTTAAAGTACTCTTTCATACATTTTAATGCATGGACAATTCACAATATCAGGTCCTCAAAGATGAATTTAATTAAGCCATTATATTCTAGAGAAAGTGGTGATACTTCTCACCAGTTAAAATTTTCAATCTGGGTATAATATACTCCTGCATTGATAACTCTTTCGCTTAACCACTTTTTCCATTCTGTACTGTGGTTCCGAAATCAAGGGGCTGAGCAGACTCAGAAGACCCAGGAGGGCAGGTAAAAAGATTTTCATTTGGTGATGTCATGAATTGACAAGGACAAATGATATTTTTGTCTCCCCCACATTGAAATGGGCTTTTCCCCTTGCATTGCAAATGTTTATAGCCCAATTTTTATTTCCATACCAAATATATAATTTGAGAGATTTGGTAAATTGTGAGAAAATGAAATTCCCCTCTACGTACACTGTCCAGTTCCCAGAGATGCATCTATTCCCAGATAAGACCATGATGTAATTGTCTGCCAATTATTATTATATTATATTATTATGTGCTGTTTAGTTACTTCTAATTTTTGGTGACCTGACTAGAGTTTTCAGGGTATGTGAAATATACAAGAAGTGGTTTACCATTGCCACTCCCCAGTGAAATTCCATGCTGAATGGGAATTTAAACCCCAAGCTCCTATATCCTTTACCCCACACCAGCTCTCAATAAATATACAGTATTTACTCCTATTATAGAGAAGATCACATTGATTGCCATAGAGATGTTAAAAGGAGGAACTGACTCTGGAAAAAAGGGGACGAAAACAAGCTTCACTGTTAATATAGCTAAAAGTATATAGGGATTCCAATCCAGAAGCATTCAAAACTACAGACCTGGAATGGACAAATTCGTCCATTTTGGTTTCTCTCAGATTCAGACTTTCCATTTTATTCCAAATATGAAGAAATCTGTAAGAATTGGAAAATTCTGATGGGAAAAAATGAGGGAAAATTCTCTCTCTCCCTACTTTCTGTTATGTTTAGAAGGGAGAAGCACAATTCTTTGCTATTGAATCAATGTAAAGAGAGGTTTACAATCAGCTAGTCCTTCAGCATTATGAACACAAACAAGCTAATAGCTGTCAGAATGCTGATCACCTTCAGGCTTCCTAAGTTAAGGCAGAAGGAAGAAAAACAACAGTCTACTGTTAATTATACAATGGGCATAGTTGGAGCCACTGAGTGGCACATTCTGTCATATGATCATTGAAAGAGAGAAATTGTGATGATGGAAAGGCTGCTTGCGAGCTGAGCTGGCTTGCTTTAAAGGAGATTAGATAAAGCTGGTTTGATAGTCCAGTGGTTTAGAACTCTGGCTGTGGAGCCAGAGGTTGGGAGTTTGATGCCCTACGGTGCCCTCTGTGAGTAGAACCAGCTTGTGGCCTTGGGCAAGCTGCAGAGTCCCAGAACGCCCCCAGAAGAAGGGCATGGTAAACTACATCGGTGTATTCTCTACTTAGAAAACCCTAGAAAGAGGCTTAACAGCAACAAGCAATTATTAATTAGTTCTTTCTTTCCACATTATAGTCCTGATATTCTCTCATGTTCCCTCAAGATTCATAGATATTCGGGGGGGGGGAGAGTTTCCTTTGATTTTAATCTGGGAGGGGCATATGGTCCCCAAAGAGTGGACATGGATTTGATGTAGATTTGTGTTTTTCACTACTAGCTTTTACCTCTTGGTATGTCAGTGGGTGCAATGCCTTTGAGATAATTGATTTTATCAATAGGGATTGGCTTCAACCAACCATTAATGATTCTACAGCTTTCATTGAGTGCTACATCTACCTCTTTTCTGTAGGCTGAACTATATATAACATATCAGAGTTGCATAGTTGCTGGTAGACAAGCCTAGTTCCAGGCTGTAGTGTTTGTGGTTGTGTGCCCCAGCTGGCTCCCAAGAGCTTTCAAAGAATATTGTAGATATATTTGGTTTGTATTTGTATATAGTAGATATATTGGCTGAAATTCTGTTGCTGAGGGTAGTAGGTCACAATTAGAGTAGGCCCATTGAATCAGTGGAACTTACAGAGGCATTGACTCATGAAATGCCCACTGATGAAACGGGCCTACTCTAGTTGTGACTCACTATGCTAAGCAACAAATATTCAGCCAGGTTTTGGTAGTGGTGTGATTGCATTCCTTTTGAGATACGTCTCAGTTTATTCCATAATAAAATTTTCCTCTTTAAGGTGCCACAACCCCCTTTTTTATTTTTGCTACACTGACACAATTGGCATTACTGATCAATAGGAATTGGCTTCAACCAACCGTTAATGATTCTACAGCTTTCATTGAGTGCTACATCTACCTGTTTTCTGTAGGCTAAACTATATATAACATATCAGAGTTGCATAGTTGCTGGTAGACTAGCCTAGTTCCAGGCTGTAGTTTTTAATGTTCGTGGTTGTGTGCCCCAGCTGGCTCCCAAGAGCTTTCAAAGAATATTGTACATACTGTACATTTGGTTTGTATTTGTATATAGTAGATATATTGGCTGAAATCCTGTTGCTGAGGGTAGTAGGTCACAATTAGAGTAGGCCCATTGAAACAGTGGAACTTACAGAGGCATTGACTCATGAAATGCCCACTGATGAAATGGGCCTACTTTAGTTGTGACTCACTATGCTAAGCAACAAATATTCAGCCAGGTTTTGGTAGTGGTGTGATTGCATTCCTTTTGAGATACGTCTCAGTTTATTCCATAATAAAATTTTCCTCTTTAAGGTGCCACAACCCCCTTTTTTATTTTTGCTACACTGACACGATTGGCATTACTGACTTCTCAGAATTTTATTTATTTAAACTATTTTACTTTTTAAAAAAGTTAATAACTTGGGAATTTATTTAAACAATTTTACCACACTTTTCATCTTAAAAAGGACTCATGGTCGCTTACATCATTTTTAAAAAAAAGCTAAAATATTCAAATATTTAAAAGGATCAAACAAATACCCCACTACTGTAAAATGGTAAAGAAATTCAACACCAAAAAGATACCCCACTAAAATGGTAAAGAAATTCAACACCAAAAACACATTCAAAGCAACAAGGCACAGAACAACCCTCCACTAAAAAATCCCTCCCAGATAGCCAATCAGCAAGGGAAGGTCTGAAGAGAAAGGCCTTTGCCTGCTTGCTGAAGAACAGCAAAGATGGGACCACCCTTGGGAGCAACCACAGAGAAGGACCTCTCTTGTGTCGCCACCAAGCATGCCTGTGAGGCTGAGAGAATGGACTCCCCTGATGATCTTAACACATGGGCAGGCTCATAAAGGGAGACACAGTCCTTGAGATAGTTTGGGCTGAAGCTGTTTAGGATACGGCAGTCACTTGCAAAATCCTGGCTTAAAATCCTGGCTTCACTAACTACTTACCAACTCTATAAGTTTGCTGATGTGAGAATAAAACAGGATACCACCTTGCCTGCATTTGCAGGGAAATAGGGCAAATAAAGAAAATATTTGTATCTAACTGTTGACTTTGCAGACTGGTAGAACAGATGCAAAGTGCTGCTTTATAATTTAGGCATACCACTGGCCTCATTTGAAATCTTATCCAGGCTTTCTCCCTAAAAGATATTTTAGCTGAAGACACTAGGGATCAAATTTGAATCTTTGTGAATGCAGTAGATCTCTACAACGCAGTAGGCCACACTTCCTTATCTAGCCTTTATCTTATTTGCAACTGACACTTCAGCTTTTGTTTCTAAATGATATTGCCAGTCCATGCAGAGATCAGCTGAGCGGATTAACTTTTTTCTATTTCCTGTCACGTTTTTGCCACATGCTCTTCACTTCTCCATGTCTACACATGCAAACTTGCTCTACACTTTTCCAATCACTCTATCCGTTCTCCACTAAAGCCTGGTCTTCCACACGCACCTTCATGGTGCCCTCTCTTCCCTGTTCTGAGCCAGAAAACTACCATTTTCCAAGAAGTCTTTTCGCTTAATCCCTCAAGTTTTCTTGAACCTCCCAGCAAAGAATACACACAACTTTGGGCCTTCCCTCTTTTCTGTGTTGACTCTTCTCAGTGCTGAAGTTGATACAGAAAGCTTTTCAGGGTGCTGGCTGTTTCTCATTGTTTATACAAGGCTACCTTGCTCCACACTTTGAGTGGTCAGCTGCATTTTTTCCCTGCAATATCATGAAAATAGTTTTACATAAGTGCCCTCTGCTGTTAAGAAATATATACAGCAGAGCTTGATGTGAATGCAAGCAAGCAATCAGCTCTACACTAAGGATGTTATGAATGCTGGACATTTTTTAAAAAATTCCAGTGATTCTTTTGAAATTTCTTCCAGGGGGGAATCCCTCCAGGACCTCTATGATATTCCCCAGAGCAGCAGTGTGAGCAGTATTCCCCTGCTTCTGGCCAATTTCCTGCTGAAGGTTAAGTTTGATAATCTTGCCCTTTTTGTGTGTGTGTCTTTGTTGCTCTGTTCAGTTTCAGGCTCTTATGCTAGTCAGTTTCCATGGTTGATTGGTCAATGCAGGGAATTGTTGACCAACCATTTGAAATTGCCCAGTGTAGAGCAACAAGTGGTTAACAAAAATACTGCAGAGAGTAATATACTTCAGGGACCAGCAGCACAGGACTATCAAATTTAACTTTGACAGAAATATCTATCTGGGCACTAATAAGGAATCCTAAGGGATGCAGGTGGTGAGGTGGGTTAAACCGCTGAGCCACTAGGCTGTCAATCAAAATGTTGGCAGTTTGAATGTGTGATGGGGTGAACTCCCATTGCTTGTCCCAGCTCCTGCCAACCTAGCGGTTTGAAAGCATGCTCATTCGAGTAGATGAATAGGTATAGTACCAACTTGATGGAAAGGTAACAGCTTTCCATGTCTAATCATGCTGGCCATGTGACCACAAAAAGGATCTATGGACAAATGCTGGCTCTTCGACTTACAAACAGGAATGAGCACCAGCTCCTAGAGTTGGACACGACTGGACTGAATTGTCAGGAGGAACCTTTACCTTTAATAAGGAATCTTACAGATAACGGTATCAATTCCTGCATAGTATCTAAGGAATTATGTGAAGGATTTCACAGGAAGAAACTGAGGACACTTTATTGGTTTGGATATCCTAGGGAATGAAAAAAGAAAAAGATTCTAAAGAAAGCTGTGGGACTGAGAAGCATCTAGATTCACAACTCTGCTGTACACATCCAGGCACCAGACAGTAAAAGCTTAAAGAATATGATTGCTTTTGACACTTGTTACCGAATAACTTTGCTATTATGGCCGCATGTCTCCATTTTGTAATGTATTAAAGTTGCCTTTTGCACCAATAAATAGGCAGCAATTTATAGAAAATGGTTTTTTCAGTTTTGGAGGACCTGTTGAAGGAAGTTTCTCTGCCCCACCACTGAAGGTCTCCTGCCATGCTTTTAAGACCAAGATTTTCCTTGAAGCATGCAGCAGTGACAGGGTATGATGATGAATTGTACCAAATAATTGCTTTTGTTTTGATTGTTAACATTTCTTGTATGGCATTTTGATTTGTTTTAATGTTTAGTGGAACTTCCCATGGTATCGCACCTAGTGTCTTGTTTTGGAGTTCTACGGATCACAACCTCCATGAAGGGAGTCCTCTGAAAATTGTGGAGGCCAGCCTTCCCTAATCCTATTTGTATCTCAAATATGTTGAGATACAATTCTTATTGCCTGCCATGGCCCAAGTCATAAAGTACATACATGTAATAAAGTATATGTACATGTAATTTTTGGAAGAAAGGGGAAGAAAATATTAGACACTTTTAAAAGAGTGTCAAACGTTCTCAGTGGTATATGAAATCCTGACTCTTGGAATACCTTCTCAAGGATTCAGCCCTTGAATTTCCTTCCAAGTTTATAACCATCATAGCAAAGGTTTCTGTTTAGGAAAGCATGACTAACTGGTGCCGATATATATATATATATTTTGGACTTATATACCGCCCCATAGCGCTACAAGCACTCTCCGGGCGGTTTACAATTTTAATTATACAGGCTACACATTGCCCCCACCCCCCAGCAAGCTGGGTACTCATTTTACCGACCTCGGAAGGATGGAAGGCTGCTCTTTAATGCTGCTCTTTAAATCTGCACTGCGAATTTGTTTTCGACTGTAACAATGACTGCTATTTTGTTCGGCCACTATTTTTCCAACAAGCACAAAATGTTTATTTTATAAATACCATATTTTTCTGTGTATAAGACACTAGTTTTTCCTAAAATCATTACACTAAAAATTGAGGAGTGTCTTTTACACAGAAGTAAGCTGAGATAGCTGAGGAGAGAACAAAACGGCACATACCTTGCCTCTGTAAACAGGCTTCCTCTGTAAACAGTCATGAGGCTTAGCTTACTCCAGCCATGAGCCTTATGGAACTGACATCAGCTGATGCTGTAAAAACTGATTTGAACACACCTTGCTGGAAGTGGAGCTTCAACAGGGACTCAAAATGTCAGATCGTTCTGAGCCCAGAGGCTGAATCCTCAAAGCTGTTTTCTTAATTTTTGGGTTAGAAAAGGGGGTGGTCTTATAAATGGTAGTGTGTTCTAAACAGTAAATACAGTAACTAGCAAATATACCCAGCTTCACATCTATTGAATGGGCTCTTACTTTGGTACCTGGAAACCTTTAAACAACAGTCACATTGGGTCTGTCATGCTTGGGGGTGGGGGGGAGGGGGAGGAAGACATTGCTGAAGCCAAGGCACATCTCTTCAGATCTGAGGGTGGGGTTCAGTTACTCAATGCTGATGATGAGGACAACCTGGGAACAGTCCTCAGATTACTTCCCACTGTGGGCCTGTCCAGACTGGCCCTTTTTGTGCAGGCCAGCATTATGTAAGCAGTGTTGGTTGGATGGGGGAAGGAGCAATATGCCATTTGGCATGATCCTCATGTCCAAATAGCATATCAACTTCAAGCAACCCTCCAGCTCCTTCCTCCTTTGTAACTGGACTTCACACAGAGCCAGCCTCTTTCCTTCCCACTAACTCTTTCACACATAAAAGTGATTTGCCTGGAATGGGCAGAAGGAAAGAGCTTCACTCACTGCTGCTTTGCACAAAGGCAATGATGTAGCTCTGCTTGCAATGAGGGCTGACTGGAGATGCTCCTCATCTAGTCCTACCAGCAGCCTGCCTGCTGCCAATTTCATTTGTCAGAACTAAGGAGGGCATTACACCTCTTCTTGCATTGGCTTCCTCCCTGAGTGAGAGCATTTCAGGTGGCTGAAGGACCTGGGGCTTCAGGAAGAAGATCGGGGAGTTTATAATCATACCTGAGCAGGAAGAGTGAGGAGAGGTAGGCTGGCAGGCAGGAGGGGAGCAATGGCCAGGCTTAGCTGCCGAAGTGCGGTGGAGTGACATTTTTTCAAGGGAAATGCTGCAAACATTTGGAAGGAGTGTTTCAAGTTGTTCCTTCATGGTGCACCAATCTTTCATGCTGAAGCCAATCCAAGCTGGTAAAACACTCTCAGCTGATCAGTCCCCCCCACCTAAGATGATGACACAGGGTTGTCACCACAGTTAATGCCGCCCCCAATGGCGCTTTGGTGCAAGGTATCCATCCATGCACGATAAATAAAGAGCTATTTTGGGTGATGCTGAATGGTACCAAAAAGAACGCATACCCTAGCCCTGTACCTAGAAAGAGCATTACAGCTCTTAAGGACGCATCATTCTAAATAGAAACAAGTGGACAAGATCTTTTTTTTCATGGCAAATAGTGCCATTAGGTTTCCATAAACCATAATTATATGCCACTATGGACAGGCTCTCTATTGGGAGCTAATCTATGCACCGTCAAGGAAGCCCTGTCACTTCATGACTGAAAATGGCTCTGCAGGCTTCAAACACATGGATAGACTAAAATCAAAATTGAGAAATATGTTTTAAAAACCAAGCCCCTAATGTTAACTTTAGGATCCTTTCAGTCTGTTTTCCAAACTTAAGATGTCTAGGTTTCATGGTTCTGGCATTATAGTTCTGCTAGCAGAGACAAATTATTAGAGGCTGAATAACAGTATGCATCTCAGCATTGGCTAATTTTTAAAATCAATCATTGCTGAGACAATACTATTAAAATGAATTTTAGTGTACATATTCTGGGCAATTATTAATTACATTTTGATACTTATGTTTAACATCAAACTCACTGTGAAATGTGTGATTAAATGCAGAATCCGTATTTATTAGAAAAATCATTTATATAGATACATTAAAAAATTCTCAAAATGAGTTAACTACATTAGCGGTTTAAACAATGCATGATACATTTTTATTCCCATTAATATATAGAGATAATAATATTCCCCAAGGGGGACAATTTGAAATGTGAAACACATTATATGAATATACCACATATACACATTCTCACAGAGAAGTCATTTCAATCTTCCATATACTGTTAGATCATGCTTCCATTAAAAGGAGATATTTCTATCCTATCACTTGTATTTTTCTTTTGTGATAGATCAATAGCAGCTGATCTGTTCTCTAGAGAGCAGTAAGTAGCCTTATAACAGGATTATTTCCCATGGTGTGCAAGTACTTCTATTGCATAACTGTCACTTCTGGTCAAAAAAAGTCTGCAGCATTTTGAAAAAATATCATTTGACATAAAAATCCTGCTTGGGGAGGCAGAAGTGAGATAAAAGTATTCCTCACACATAGCAATTAAGTTTTAACACTGCCATTAGCTCTCTTAAGAAATCACTAAGCTTCCACACAATGATGAATACATGAACGGGAGGAACAAATTTGTCAAGAAGTAACATTTCAACTGAGTTTCCAGTGACATTTGGAGAGCATTTGGTAAAATTAAAGAGTGAGCAAAACTTCAGGAAAATGAAGCCCACTTTTTGGAAGACGATTTTCAAGAGAACATTTCTATTCGCATAGATAAGAGTTGAAAGATGGGGTGATTTTCAATAGGTTATTGTTACTGCTTTCTGCTACAAGCCAGAGTACTTCACACCGTATTGTACAGGGATGGCTTCATGATCTTTGTACACAACCCAAATGGTTCTTACTGCCTTCCCCAGGAGACAGAGGCACCACTCCCCTTTTGCGTGTCCCATTTTCCTTCAGGGTGGGGGAGCAAATAACATTACGTTGCCGACCACTCTTCTTGTCTTCCTGCACACTTCACTAGACTGCTGACATCTGCTATGCCATTTGTGATAGCAGGGGGAAGGCTGTTTGTGTTCACTTGTTCCCAAGCTTGAAGGACTTCCAGTATTTTAGGTGGACTGCTGGGGCTCAAGTCACAGAGTGCATATGCTGCTGCTAGCTGGACACCCCAGGCCACATCTGTAAAGGTTGGAAAGATGACAATCAAGAATGCCCTTGATCAAAGGACCATTAAACAGACAAGGTCAATTATTATAAATAATAATTTTAGAAATTCAAAGCTGGAATGGACTCTACAAATCATCGAGTCCAGTCCCTGTCAAGGAGCCATAGTGGGGGACTGAACTCCAAACCTTTGGCTCCGCATTCATATACCTAAACCGCTGAAACTAGTCAGAAACTACATTAATTTGCTGTTGTCCTGTGGTCCCCAAGCACTGGGGTTTTCCAGGCCAAATTCTCCCTTCATTCCGTTCACACATAAGCTGACTAGTGCAAGATCAGACTACAGGCTGCTTCACTGTTTGAACATAATGCCAAAGGATGTTCTTTTACATCTCTTTTAGTATAGAACAAGGGCTGCTAGACTCACTACCACTGTTAATACATTATATGAAACAGAGGCTTGCTACCTTTTTCTTTGGCGTGCTGAAGAAAGGCTCCAATAACAGAACTGATATTTTCCACTGCAGAAGAAAATCCTTCTCTCAGCCCTATTTGGCCTAGACGACCTATGAAACATCAATACAAGGAGACAGTGAGCAGGTAAACCGATACCTGAACCATATTGGTCCAAACTGTTTGTGTGTGTCACGTGGTGTAGCATTCCCCAATACAAAGAACACGCATTCCCTCCGCAAAAGAACTAGAACAAAATAAGGTAGACCCCCCACTCCCCAACCTCCTGGACAGGTACAGAATTACATATGACTGTGAGAACAGCCAAACTAGTTCAGACCAAAGGCCCTGGAAATACGACTCTTGACTTCCCCAAATGTGAGTACTTCCCCGACAGTTATATGGGGAATAGAGGAGTCAGGTCCTCAAGTCACTCCGTGGCTGTAATGCAGTAGCACGTATGAGAGAACAAAGTCTGTGTGGTACAAAACTAAAAGAAGCAGTACTGGGGAGACAAAAGAAAACTGCCAAGATCTCAACAGACTTTGAACAGTATTCTGTCTTGCCATTCGTGCAGGATGCTGCAGAGATCCTATATCCCAACTGAACCACCTATGGACTTTGATGATTGGTGGTAGAAACAATGATGACAATCCTACTGTGTGGAAGCTGCAGCCACTGTTTTAAATACAGTCATCTTAAGTAAGCACAGACTTAACTGGGAGAGAATCTAACTTGTGTGCAGGAAAGTTTTGAAGAGCCTGAAAGCTAGACAAAACATGCTACATACTCACCAATCAGCCTTAGCACTGTTGCTACGATTACTTCAGAAGGGGAGGAAGCATTTCCATTGTTCTTTCTGTTTTTTATCCACTTATCCATGATAGGCCAGAGCTCTTTGCTGTGGAAGGAAATGGACAATGAGTGGACACATCTACTCTTTAAAACTAAACTGAATGGTCAGACCTACATCATATTCCTTTTTTTTTAAAAAAAGGTTTTAGTTAAGAAAAAGTTATAACAGAACAGTATGGCTTACTGTAATACTTCCCACCCACCTTGAATGGGGGAGAGGGAAGGCTTTCTTCTCTAAAGGGATAATAAATGATCAAGCAGAGAACACTTCAACTGTTTATGCTTTGCTGTTAAAATCTTATGGACAGTCAATGGAAAGGCCAAAAACTCAGCATTACTACTGGGCTCTTCCTGTCTGGACAGTCTGGCTCCTGCTCTCAAAGATACCTTCCTTAGCTTCCCATACATATTATCTATATGAAGGTGCATTTTGTCCAATCCCAGCCATTGTTGGTCATAGACAAGCTGCGTGAACAGCCTGAGGAACAAACTGAGTGAACAGCCCGAGGAACAAAATAGGGGAATGAGGAACACCCTCTACTGATTATCCCTAGTAGGGATGAGGGAGTTAAAGAGTCCATTGCTTGTGCCCTGGGGTGAATGGCTGTGATGCACAATAAAGAGCTCTGTCAAGGCTGTAATTGTGATGTATGGCAAATTATGAGGCAAGGCAGTTTCTCAACAGGAGTAGGTAGAGCCAGGGCCATTGCTCCTTCAGTTCTTCATCAGTTCAAAATGTGGCTCTTCTGAAGAACAGGTTGCTGATGTTTATGTAATAGTAACAACACCAATGACATTTGATTGTTACTGTTAAAATTCAATTGTTGTGAAGGGGGCAAGTCAAAGGACTCTTTCAAATAGACACATTCATCAAATGATCAAACCAAGAGACCAATACTGTATTTCATTCATCAAAACATTATAACCTCAATGTACTCCCCCCAACCTCCATCTTCTTCCAAGAAAGTATAGAGGGAAGAATACTGAAAGCATGGAATGAATGAAATGCCAGTCTAAGGTTGTAGCACCCTGTCTTAGGAGTACAATAGCAGATTCCTAAAGTTTTCAGTTGCCAGATTCAAAGCAAATGCTGAGCTGCTTAAGCTGAGAGACTGAGTAACAGGAAAACAGCCCCAGAAACAAATAACCGTTTTCTGCTAGTGTCTCTGTCTCTGTCTCTATTCTACACCTCTACACATACGGAATCCCTTACAAGTTCTCTTTTCATGTATGTACACTGACATCAGTGGAGCTCCAGAAACAAATAACCATTTTCTGCTAGTGTCTCTGTCTCTATTCTACACCTCTACATACGGAATCCCTTACAAGTTATCTTTTCATGTATGTACACTGACATCAGTGACCCAACAACATTCACTGGCACGGATTACTCATTGATTAACTAGCTGATCTGCCTACTAAATGTGGGCATGTAGCCACAAAAAAAAGTTCATCACAAGGTCAAACTTGCTATATACTTATAGAAAGTAAAGAGAGTGCTATCAGGTGATGAAAGATACCTCTTTCTTAAAACACTGCCTTTTGCTAACAGTCTTCCATTCAGCTTGGTTTTGTGATTAATCACGGGAAGCAAACATGGCCATAAATTTTGACATTTGACTGCTGAAATAAGCATCTCTTAGGAAATCCTACTGTTGGAGGGAAAAGAAATTAACTGGAGAAAGCATGCTTTCCCCATAACACCTAGTTTGTCTCTAAAATGATAGACACAAGTAACAAACAGGTAATAATACCTTATGATATTATCATGGGTCCAACACCACTTTTGATGTGAGCAGAGCAGGTCAATAGCAAACACATATTCCCATGTACTCTCATTCAGATCTTCTCCATATTGTTCACTAAGTTGAAATTCCATCTGTGGACACAACTGGATTGCCAAAAGCAAGCTGGAGATCATCATCCCAGCATCTAAAAGGGTACTCTGATATTTTTTTTAAAAAAAGAGAATTTAGTTGAAACAAAAATAAAATAAAGAATTCAATTTGAAACCACATTTTCCCATCAGAGGAAGAGTCTGTTTTAGGAGTTTGCTGTACTAAGTTCGATTTTGATGCAGCTTGAAAGTACTAGCGGAAAAACAAAACTAGAACAAAAACACACCCCAAAAATATACTGAACCCCTCCCACTGAATATGTTCTTTTTTTCTTTTTGGCTTGTGGCTTAGAAGTACCTCTCAGCTACTGACTACATTTTCCTTCCAAGATCAGATACTGTTAAGGTAGCACCATAGTTGGCGTCAAAAGAGAATCATTAAACTTGTTCATCGTTCTAAAGGGTGTATCTTAGGCCCAGGCTAAGCCTGAAGACTTTCTGAGAAACCTTCTAACAATTTCCACCTTAAGAACTACAGGCTGTATATTTGGAGACTTCATAGTAGAAGACAGCTAGCAACACAGTATGCCATTTTGGATTCAGCAGCACCTTTGCAGCTGTACCACAAAGGTCAAATCTGTTTGTCAAACACAGGGGATTATGTCCTAAGTCCTTTTCCTCCCAAGTTATGTCAAACTCTTCAGAAAGAAGGATTTAATTAACAAATATGTGTATGGTGGTCATTGCTTATGCCTTAGTCAGCTGCAGACAAAATTAAATCTTGCTCTTTAATAAACTCTGCATAATTAAAAACGGACTCTCTTCTTGCTTCATTAAGCAAAAGGTCCTGTCAAGTCCCCATACCTCTTCCCAATTCAGGTAGGTGTTCAGGCAATGCAGTACGTTTCCTCTTGCACGCTGTCTGACTACTAATTGGATCGCTTTATTGATTACACCTTCAGAGGAGAATATTTCATTCCATATACTTCCAATAAATAAGGTCAGCCTATCAGATTGGGGAAGGTCTGGTAGGAAAAAGGAGAGATTGCAAAGACAAAGGACATTAAAAAAAAGAAAAACACAAATACTATTTTTAGTATTCATCATCATCTTAAAACTGCAGAGCTGGAAGGGACCCTATAGTTCACTGAGTCCAACCTCTGCCAAGGAGGCACAGTGAGAAATCTAATTTCCAACCCTCTGGCTCCTCAGCCAGATTCCTAAACCACTGAGCTATTGGACACAAGACACTTTGTAAGACTCATTTATCCGTGCAATGTGGTGCATTATGTGCACTTGTTGACTTGGTGGTATTCCAAAGCTTTCTAATAAAACCCACAGGGTGTTTCTATCTGCTACGCTGGTTGCTTATTACCCAACTATTTGCATATCACAGGCATTGAAGATAAGAAGCAGGATACAAGCACTTAAAATACAAGGATTGGAAACCTATTGCTCTTTTGCACAACAGCCCTATTGCACAAGTAGCTGCTAAAATACATTAAGAGTGCAGGAGGGCATTCATTACATGTTGGTTCCATCAGGCTGACTGCAGCTTATGTAATTGCAGAGACATTATGCTCCACCATTACAAAGAGGATTCTGCTCAGCGCTGTTAGAATAACGAACCTGAGCTAGAAAAATATTGAATAATTTAACAGATTAATTCAGTGCACAAGATATTGAGAAGAATACAGCTATGGAGATATGCGAAAGCTTATGAAGGAAGGATCACATTCAATACAGTGGGATCTTGACTTGAGAACTTAATCTGTATTGGAAGGCGGTTCTCAAGTCAAAAAGTTCTCAGGTCAAATCTGCATTTCCCATAGGAATGCATTGAAAATCATTTGATCCGTATCTGCTCTTTTCTGTCCATAGAAACTAACGGGAAGCTGCTATTCTGCCTTCGACCACTAGAGGGGGATATTTTGTTTCTTTTTTTTTCTTAGGTCAAGAAAGGTTCAGGGAAGGCAGGGAAAATACAGTCCAGGCAGTACAGTACCAGGCAGTCTGAAGACTGTCTCCCAATCCACTCTCTAAACGCTGGGAGGAGTGAGGAAGCAGACAGGCACCCTTTTCACTGGCCAACAGTTAACTGAAAGTTCAAATTTTGCACTTTCCCTGCCTCCCACGTGGTTTTTTTTCAGTTCTTAACTCAAATCTAAGTACGTAAGTCAAGTCAATATTTTCCTATGAGAGTGGTTCTTAAGTCAAAATGTTCTTAACTCAAGCCGTTCTTAAGTCAAGACCCCACTGTATACTATTTAGGAAAAATCTGTACCAGGTGATGACAGAATGGTATTTAATGTCAGTTATTATAGATACAGTGGTGCCTCGCTTAACAAGCGCACCATTTAATAACAAATCCGCATAACGACGTGTTTTTGTGATCGCTTTTGCGATTGCATTGCAATGTTTTAGATAGGGAAAACATTGCTTCGCATAGCAATGTTTTAAAAACAGCTGATCGCAGAGCTAGCTATGAAAAACCAATTCAAATTAGAAAAACCCAGTGCTGAGCAAGAGGCCAGACAAACCACATTTGAGCAGGAGACAAGACAAATAGAGATGAGAGAAAAAGCTGAGCAAGAAAACAGAGTAATGGAGTTAAAATACTGTAAATGAAATTTCAAATGGAAATTAAAAGATTAGAATTTGCTGCTCAAAACAATAATAGTAATAACAATAACTACTCTAGTGAGGGAAATCTCTCAAAAATTGACTTAAAGAAACTTCCCCAATACAGTGGTGCCTCGCTTAGCAATTGCCTCGTTTAACGATGTATTCACTTAGCGATTAGGTTTTTGGAGCGATTTTGCGCTCCGTTTAACGATGTTTCCTATGGGGAAAATTCGCATAGCAATGTTCGAGCCCTTGCCTCGCTTAGTGATGACAGTTTTAGTTCCCCTGTTTCGCTTAGCAATGTTCCGTTTTCGCTATTTTTAATGTGTCTTAAAAGGTTCAAAACGGTTTTAAATGTTTGGGATCGTTAGTGCACCTTCTAAAACGTGTGCAAACTTAATTTGG